CAGGGGGCTCTGGATTGGAAGGGACGATATGCCCAGCTAGACACATAGGACCTGGAGTTGCATGAACGTCTGGTGGTGGTGAAGGGCTATACACCCGAGCTGCTGGCAGGCCCAGGACGGGAGGTGAGGCTGCCCCTGGCCACTGCCATCTCTCTCTTCTCTTTCCTCCAGCCTTCCTTGTTCATTTGGGACTGAGCTTACCTCTGTATTCAGCCCCAGCTGCTGGTTCAGAGCTAACAGCTTCCAAGAGAAGGAGTGTTGCACTCAGTTTGACAATTAGATCCCTTCCTCATCATCCCAACCAAAAACGGACAAAAGTCTTCATCAAACTCTGTGTGTTGTTGTTGGTGACGTCTCCTTAATATTTGGGAGGGGACCTTGAGGCCGGTCCCACTGTAATTATGCAACTTCTGCCTAGCCAATTAATACACTGAGACAAACTTCTCTGTGTGTGGATCACGTGCCTCATTTGCTAATGGCCTCAGGGAGCCAAACAGGAGACTCACAAAAGGTCCCTGATCTTATTTGATCCCTTACAGGATGACTGTCATCATCCTTCCAATGTGGAGACAGTCCCCACAGGAACCTAATTCTTATTCATAAAATCTATTTCTTAGTTTCCTTCTCCCTACATTTTTTCCCCCCTGAGAGTCATGATGGAATCTTGCAGGAATAAAAATCAGAGACGCCAGAGGCTTGGAGAAACTGGATGTTTTAAAAGTTCGGGGCCCCCAACATGGGTCTCTTGAGGAAGGAATTCCTTCTTGGGTGCACCCCAACCAGCTGGACAACCCAGGCTGCTGACTTCTCACTCCCTCTGTCCATGTGGCTCCTTGATCTTTCTCCAACTCAGGTTTCTCTCCACCAGACAGACTGTCCCTGACCAGCTGTCACCCACAGTCCTCTCCTCCATGTCTCCCCTGGGCCCCTCTGCACAGCCTCTTCCACTACCTTTCTGAAGTAACCCCCAGCAATTTGGGGATGGTCACACACACGTAGACACATGCATACACATGTAGGCACACGCACACGCACACAAGCACACGTTCGTTCAGCTCTCGCTGCCTTGGCACACAGGAGCTCAAACCTTGGAAGCCTTCCCAGCTTCTTCCTCTCAGCCTTTTCAGAACTTGCCCCAGTCACCTCCTCCAGGAAGCCGTCTCCGACTCTCTACCCTAGGCTGGAGAAGCGTTCATGCACACACATTTCTTTCAAGATCCTCAGCACACATTAAAAT